GCACTGCCTAACGCAAACCCAAGTTTCCTACATTTAAAAATTGTTGTAAGTGGCCCCCACAGCAAACAGTCATACTCCCCACTTTATTATGGGTATTATGACCAAAAGACGGTCATAATCCCCATAATTGCAATGGGGATGGTGAATAAATCAACCTAATACGCCAAAGGTTATGCGATGCCTCAAACCTTGAAATATTGGTTCTAGACCCACGATTTTACATATGTCGATTTAGCTATGTGTGCCCGACTGTCCATTTTTATTTGTAATCACGCTACAGGTCACAATTGTGACGAAAACCTCACTAAATTTGAGGGTTAGGGTCATATTAAAAACCTTTAGGGCTTGAAATGGACCAACAAGAGATTTTTGTGATTTTGTAGTCTCCCATGCCATAATTGGCGTCTAATTTTGCCTGGGGTTAGAATTTAGAACAGCGGATGAAATGGACCATACCTTTTGCATGAAATATCCATTTTTAAACACAATATTTTACGTTGTGTAAATTCTGTGAATGAACGATTGCTATTTTCTGATTGCCTACTTTGGTGAACCAGAATTTGCCTATAGAAAAAAGCTCTTTTTGTTTACTTACATCCAAAAATTCTATTTGTCTGCCATTTGCCTTGCAATTGAAAAAAAAAATAAGTTTGCTGAACAGGCTATAAGTTCGCACGGGGCAAACTTTTAATGCCCACCACCTTAGGGTAAAGGAAACATTTTTATATAAAAGAATCTGAATTCAAGCGCGTTTAACTTTAAACTTCATATACCAATAAGGCCGTTTGCATAATGCAGTTAAATTTATCAAAAAAAAAAAAAAACTTTAAAGTGAGTGAGGCAGTTATATTGGGCCATACCAAAACTGGAGCCTTTATAGGCAATTTTATACTTCAACGATTGTCATCTATCAAATCTTCTAAAATACCAAATATGAAACAATTATGTAAGTTAATGTGACAAGGATTATCAAAATACCGAATATCGGTGGGTATAGTTTATGTGCGCTTTAGGAAAACGTGGAACTAAATATTAAATGTTCTGCCACCGAGCTAGAACCCATTATGAACTGCACATACTAATTTTTTTTATCAAAATATCGAATATCGGGAGGTACCGTTATATGAGGGCTAGAATCCATTATAACTTACAAATATATGTCTTTTTCAATACCAATCATCCTAGACACAATGCACCGTTCCGTCAAATTTTGAAGCTCCCGATCAAATAATGTGGGATGTATCGTGATTTCAACAGACAGACGGACATCGTTAAATCGACTTAGAATTTTATGCTGATTATGAATATAAAAAGGCCCAAGGACAAAAAAATTAAAGTTCTTTTTTGACTTATGCGTTCGTCTTTGCTGACTGTGGTCGTCCAGTTTCTTGGAAGCGATTACCTTGTTGAATATTTGTATAGATTTCTAAAGTGAAAAGAGGGGCGAAGCAAATTCGTCGCATGCCCTGTTGGGCATACACTTAAGCCAGTGTAGGCCTGTTGTGCGCTCTAGACTAAGGGTTTTTTTGAAGAAGGCGGTCAGTTTATAGACTGTAATATTTGAAATTCAGTTGCCTTTATGAAATGGTCTGATTAAGGTCTGGTATGGAGTCGTTCCTAAAGAATTGGGATCTGATATTTGCAAACGCTGGGCTTTGGCAGAGAAAATGTTCCAATATTTATCTCTGCGTTTAGGAGGCAGTCGAAACCACCTTAAACGATGGGACAAACAGCAATGTTCTCCAGTCAATAATATAATAGTTGTTGTCTGCATGATAATACAACATTATTTTTTTTATTTATTTAATAAGAGTCATACTTATAATTAGATTACAAATATAAAACTATAAGCTGTAACTACTAGGTCTTAAGCTTAGGGAAATCTATTTGCAAATGTATTTAAAGAGATGTATGTTTACAAATAAATTATATGATTTAATTGTGTAAATAACAATTTTTTATGTATTAGAATAATATTATTTAAAACTAAAGAACATAAGCCTTATACTTAAAAATATTGAAAATGTTTGTCTAATAATTATAGAATAATCGAAATGATCTTCTCTATCTTCTACACAAATATTGCACTTCTATTAAATTTGTCCAACTTTTTTCATGTCTCCAGCCTGAAACGAAATTGGAAAATAACGTATTCCAGAGATTCTCAAAAAAGAAATCTTCATTACCTTAAGAATTAGGTTCGGAAATGCTGTCCTCAATTCGCGCGACTTTGTTTTTTACCAAAAGAGAACAATTTGTAGCTAACAAAAAATAAAAACATTTTTTTGAGTTTTGCCTTGTTAAGGCGAAGATCATATGTTTTATGATTTAAGTGTTTGTTTTCTCTTTCGAGACGAGCTTAATGATCTGAAATTTGCAGTGAAAAGGAAAGCCAGATAGACACTATCACACACTCACCACTATGCGACGCGTTTCGCCGTTGGTTAAGCGGCTCATCAGGCATATTTAATGTGGATGATGGCTTACAAGGGCCGTTCTCTGGAAAGTAGTATATATTTCGAACTTATTGCAAATTAGCATATGCGAATTATACACTAGAAACTCTCCAGGTTCGACTCAAGTTCTATTGGCAGATCTTTTTCACAGCAACGTTTTGTTTTTTGTAGTGATGGATTTTTTGTCCACAACAACTACATTGCTTCCAATGCATACACTTGTTTTAGTGCTGCTTTAGGAAGACGGGTTAATGGCTCTGAACGTAGAGACGGCAACTTCTAGTTGGCTGCACACAGAGGTCCGCGGTTCAAATCCCACAGCCAGGCTCGGCTGAATTTTTGAGTTTTGCCTTGTTAAGGCGAAGATCATATGTTTTATGATTTAAGTGTTTGTTTTCTCTTTCGAGACGAGCTTAACGACATTTTAACATTGTTAAAACAAACTATTTTCATAATATTATTCTCAAGCTGTTAGTATTTTTGGTATGTTCCCAACATACATGTTAGCATGTTTTAGAAAAGTTATAATTTCAAGTGTTTGTGCTTCGTTTTCGGGATTTTGTAATCTTTCAATAAGATTATTATTGGGATCTATCGTGTTAGTCATGGTAAAATTAAGATGGTAAAGTTAGTCAGTCATGTGTTTACAATTTTTTTCAAAATCTTTTATTTGACAACACCTCATTGTCAAAATGTATATTTATAAGTCCATTGCATATACGCAAGTTAAAGATAGGTATCTGTTTTCTATACTGTGAAATTTGACAAGACAAATTACAGACAAGTAAAAAACATAAAATTCGGCCGGGCCGAACTTTTAATGGCCTCCACCATTGGGTAAAGAAAATATTTTTATTTAAAAGTATTTGAATTCAAACGTGTTCCACTTTAAACTATAAATACTAGTAGGAGCTTGTGGATAATGATGTTAATCTTTTCAAAAAACCATAAAGTGTTTCAGGCTTTTGTATGGGGGCCATACCAAAGCGGGAACCTCCAATTTTTTACTTCAAGGATCATCTACCAAATTCTATTAAATACCAAATTTTAAACAATTTCGTGGGTAAATGTGACTAGGATTATCAAAATACCGAATATCGGTGGGTATCGCTATATGTGTGCTGTAGGAAAACTTGGACCTAAATGTTTAATGTTCTGCCACCGGAGCTAGAACACATTATAACCTACAAATGCCAATTTTTAGATAAATCCATAGAAAAATTTGGCGAAAATCGTCAAAATTCTGAATATCCGGAGCTATCATTATGTGGGGGAAAATCCGTTTAAAAATGTGGAAAAATCATCAAAACACCGAATATTAGGAGGTACCGTTATATGGAAGCTATACTAAAACCGCCACCAGAGCTAGAACCCATTATGAACTACAAATACCAATTTTTAGAAAAATCCGTAGGAAAATATTGCAATAATCAATAAATATCGAATATTGAGAGGTGCCGTTATATAGGGGTTACACCAAAACGTAAACCTATAAATACAATGTTTCGCCACCGGAGCTAGAACCCATTATGACCTACAAATGCCTGTGCCACAATTTGTAGATCTGTGTCAAATAATGAGGGTTGTATGGTGATCTCAGCAGACGGACATCATTAAACCGACTTCGAATTTTATGCTGATAATGAATATATACCTTTATGGTGCCTACGAAGAATATATAGGGATGTTACAAATGGAATGCAAAGTTAAGGTAGAGGGTATAAAAATGCAAAGATGGGTACGCTTTTTTGAAATGACTTTACCTTCTTAATTTTGCCATGGTGTTAGTAAATTGATTAACATGTTGGCAGTTTCTTAACAAATGATTCATGTCAAATAAATTGGATCTTATGAATGGAGATAATGCATTGATACCAGTCAGACACATTTTCCCACGTTGGAATTTTCTTATTATAAAAGACTATTGATGAATTTCTTAATATCAGTTACACTCATGTTTTCTATCGTGATAAAAGGAAAATTAAAAACGTTCCTTGCCACACTGTCAGTAAATTTTCTTTTCGTTTATTATATCCCTAATAAGGGATGCATATATATTGTTATAGTTTGGATTTGATATAGGGTCTTAAGCTTAATGAGTAACTATTTTCCTCTTAATTTATTAGTATATTTAATAGCTTCATATATTGCAATATTGTCAGCTGAAAAGACAGCTGAATATTGTGGAAGGAGAGATGATATTATAATACCTACTTACAATGCTCTAGCTGCTACTAGTTTTAGAATAATCTTTGCAAATAAATTGATAATATTTTTTTTGCAAATTATTGAATTCGTTTTTACAAACTGTGTCTTCTTTACGATACTTTCGAAGTAGACATTGAAGGAGTTCAAATCCTAAAACAAAATTTTGAACCGCCAGAAATTTTACGAATGTATTGAAAATTATATTCGTTACAAAAGTTCATAACTCTATTTATCACAGAGTCTTATTTGAAAAATTACTTAGATTTAAAAGCTTTTTTAAATAGTTCCATTGCAGGAGAACCATCGTTAAATAAAATTGTTTTGTAAAGTTTGGCAGTAGCAGGGTTCTTGTAGTTTTAGATTGGCATTAGTTCAGTTTCAAATAACATATTATTGATTCGTGCTGTGCGATGAGTTCCCACACCGATTCGAAAAGCAGATTTGAATATGGTTTTAATCTTGTTGAAACAAAGTTTGGAAGTGTAACCAAGTATAAAGATTCCATAATTAATTTTCGAAATAATAATAAGGAATTGAAAATTGAAATTAATGAATTGGAACTTTCTACTGGATAAGCACTTTATTATGTTAAGATTGTTATTAAGAGACATGGATAATTTATTAATATGAGAATTTCATTGATATTTTTTGTGTATGGTTTCAGTTTGAAGTATTGTTTGAAAGTTTGTTATATGCAATTAAGAATAAGACATCAGATAGTGGTGATCTTTGTGGCATTCATTATGAAGGTTTTTTTTCATTTCAGAAAAGTAAGAATACAATTTCTAACACAATTGTAAATTTTAGGGTACATACCACATTCTTCTACTTGGCGAAATACCACATGAAGGTCAAATTATCAAATGCCTTTGAAAAGCCAAGCTATATAATCGAGAGGTGTTTATTAGTTTTTATAGAGCTATTTATGAGGTAATCTAAAAAATAAGGGAATCTGCGACGAATTGTCCTTTCTGGAAGCCAAATGGATCAGAGCAGAGAAGTCTATTTTTGACGATAAACCACCTTTTGGCAATAATTTTGTCTAATACTTTGGATGTCAATTTAAATAATAATCTTTCTTAGTTATTGTGTTCTTTAAGTATTAAATAGTGATTCTTCAACTAAACATATTTGTATTAGATTAGTGGTAATTGATAATTATTTTTTCCTTTCTTGTCTTTCATTTCTTTGCTTTCTTGCAGAGTTGTACTGTGTCGTGTAGATTCAATTTTACAATTGTATATTGTTTTTGTGAATGAACGTGCATAGTTCGTGGTAGTTTTCAGTGGCGAAACTTTTAAGTAGAGCTGCCATTATTAAATTAGGACAAACAAAGAGTTGGTGATTCTCGGTATTTGGCATGTTACAAGTGTCGCATAAGTTGCAGTTTTCAGCGTTTATGAGAAATAGGTAAGTTTTTCCGTATGTGTGACCAGTGAATAGCCGATTTATGAGTTTGATCTCTCCAGGAGGCATGTTGGAACCAGCATACCAATGACGAGACGGCGGTTCTGGGAAAAATTGAGAGAAGTATGTGCCTTTAGTGATTGAAATGTTTTTATAATTTTCCTTCCATTCACTCCATAGATGCTGATCGATTTGGGAGTGAGCATTTTTTATTACGAGGACCGGTCGAATCATTGAGCCGCAAGTTTGGCGAAGAAATCCGCACGCTCATTAGCAGGGATGCCAATATGTGAGATAATGGTGAGTTTCGTAATTTTTTAGTTATTTACTTTTCGGATTATATTATTTGACAGGTAGTTCTGAATTGTATTTTGTTTTAGTAATAGACAGTCATTTTTATTGTCGGTTAGAATAGTGTGGCCTTATTGATGCTATCTTCTATGATTATGTCTATGGCCTTCTTGATAGTATGTAATTCTCCCATTAGTGAAGACATTTTACTCGGTATTTTAAAAAGGAAGTTTTGGTTATATCCGGTCGTAGCACTGGAAACTGAGGCATCAGTTGCCCAAATAGTATGACCTGTATTTTTTAACCTTTCAACTTTTTCTTGTAGGATCATACCATAAAATTCATTAGGCTTGATATTTTTGGAGGAGTTGAACAAATTTATGAGGAAAGTAAATGTGTTTCCTAGGTGTTCGATTTGATTCACGACAACTTTGTCGAAAATGTGTTTAAATTTGAAGTATATTAGGCAAAAACTTGTCTTGTTGGAGGGATTTTGGTAAAATTGTCGACTGTGACATTTAAATTTGATTAAAACTTTCGCGATGAGATATTGGAATCTTTGGTAACATCAGTTGGTTGGTCATAACATAAATGCTAATGCGTACATTGCGTGGACAGGTGTTGACGGTGTGAGTCCACGACTTTTTCTTAGCATCTGATTTTGTTTAAATAAGTTGACATATAAGCCATAAAAGAGATGCAGTACTCTGTTTTCGAAAAGACTATGGATTTTGCGATATTTGGTAGTAGACCTTGTTTAATATTGTTGATCATTTATTGACTTGTTGCAGTAGTAGATAACATCATCATAGTGTTATTTAAGAGATAAAATGTTTTTTATGTGTCTTCCTAAAAACTTGATACTGGTAACCGATGTAATTTGGGTGCCTTATAATGTGATGGAAGGAGTTTTTCTTGGTCCTTTGGCTACATACAAGCGTTATAAAAGATATTGAAATTCAGTGGCTTTTAACTGCAGATTTTGATTGGCCGATTCAAAGTTCTTTTGCGCAGATAATAATATGAAATCATCCCCAAATTGAAACAGATGTGTGTTGTCATCAGAAATCCCATATAGACCAAGGGTATTTAAATTAAAAAGAATAGGACTTAAACAGCTGCATTGTGGGAGCCCATTGAGAATTTCCCATAACGATAGTTCTTTTGTTAAAAAAAGTTAATAATCCAATCGGTGATGTCACTCGGACAGTTGAGTTCGCAATGTATTTTAAGAAGAATTTCAATACTGACGCAATAATATGCTGTTTCTACGTCTAACGATAGATTTATCACTTTCTCACCTCTGCTTTTGTAGTAATTTATAGTGTACAGTAAGTTTTTGATACACATTGAAGTGGACATATGTTTTCTGTATGCAAATGTGTTTGCTGGAAAAATGTTATTTTCGTCAATGAATTGTTGCAAACGTTCTTTCAACATTATTTTTTTATTTTTAAAGACACTGATATTAAGGCTATTGGTCTGAAGTTTGTAAACAATTCTAGGTCTTTGGTATAGGGATAATTTTCATTTTTATAGCCATTCATCTATGATTTTGCACTTTTTCCATAAACAATTTATTGCTTCCAAAAAGTTTGTTTTTGTAGGATCCGCTAGATGATTTATCGTTTCGTATGTTATACCGTCCAGGCCAGTAGCTGAGGGTTTCTTTTTATTTTTGAGAATCAGTAAAAAATACTTTCATTGTTAGATTGGAGCGATTATAAGTATTTTTGTTGACATAATTAATTGGATTGTTATCTGGAACTTGATCTCTGAGATGACATAGAAATTGTTTGTTGTTGTTTGGGGACCATTTGATGTTTGAAGACAAACTATTTTTGCACCCACGAACAAATTGAAAGAGATGTTTTGAGCTGGGCTCCTTGTTTAGATTTTGTATCTTATTCTTGAAATTGTGTTATTTATTTTTTTATAGTTTTAATTAAATTTTTTGCGTTTATGGCATTGCTATGCGTATCGTAGATTTTTTGTGCAGCTATCTGTAGTCTGTACTGTTTTTCAACATAGGAATCCCACCAAACTTTTGGTGTTGTATATCCTTTTAGGGTATAAGTAGATTTTTATACCCTCCCCCTTGGAAATGAGGGTATATTAACTTTGTCATTCCGTTTGTAGCATCCTTAAACATTCGTCTTAGACCCCATAAAGTATATATATTCATAATCAGCATAAAATTCTAAGTCAATTTAACGATGTCCGTCTGTCTGTTGAAATCACGATACAGCCCACATTATTTGACGTAGAGCGTCAAAATTTAGCAGAGCTATTTGCATTGTGTCTAGGATGGTTGGTATTGAAAATGAGATATATCGGTCCACGTTCTGGTATAGTCCCCATATAACTGTACCTCCCGATATTCGGTATTTTGATGATTTATGCCACATTTTTTCACGGATTTTTCTGGAAATTGGTATTTGTAGGTCATAACGGGTCCCTGAGCGTGTGGCAAAACATTGCATGTATAGGTCCACGTTGTGGTATAGCCCCCATATAAAGGTACCTCCCGATATTCGGTATTTTAGTTTTTTTTTTTGCCACATTTTTTCACTGATTTGTCTAAAAATTAGTATTTCTGGGTCATAATGGGTCCTAGTTCGTGTAGCGAAAAATTGTAATTATAGGTCCACGTTTTGGTATAGCCCCCATATAACGGTACCTCCCGATATTCGGCATCTTAATGGTATTTGCCACATTTCTTCTAATGCTTCTTTTACCCTAAGGTGGAAGGTATTAAAAGTTTGGCCCGGCCGAACTTAATGTTTTTTTACTTGTTTTATTTCACTTTTTATCATGGAATGTATTTCTTGAAAATTAGTATTTAGTTGGATTTTACTAAAATTTTTCATTTGCTGTTTTTTTTTGCTAAAAAAATTTGAACTTTGCACTCAAATCATTTATATTTTTTTAAATGTATAGTTACCATCGTTTACACATTGAAAGTTGGAATTATCTAAGATTTCTTTAATTGTTTTTCCACGCTATGAGACAAATTAATCACCTGAGTGTCTAGCATTGGATTCACCACATATGAATGTGTTACTTTGATTATCAAGCAATGCTATTAATTTGGCTAATTCTGTTTTTATCGTTGCACATCTGACTAAGTGGGGAAAGTAAATGGATACCAGAGTTAAATTGTTTGCTAAATTTGTAGTTTGGCAAATCAGAATATCCAAGGAGGTTTCAAATGTAATCTTTTTGAATTGCATATTTTTTTGAAAAGTAAGGCTACACCGCCATAGTTATCACTTCTTTTTTTCGATACTATGTTGAATTCTTTTATAGATGATGGGTTTTGACTTTCGTCTATATTAAATATTTCACTCAAAAAACATATGTCAATTTATATACCCTCCACCATACTATGGAGGGTATATTAATTTTGTCATTCCGTTTGTAACTCCTCGAAATATTCATGTCAGACCCAACAAAGTATATATATTCTTGATCACCGTAAAATTCTAAGACGATTTAGCCTTGTCCGTCTGTCTGTCTGTTGTAATCAATCTATCTTTCGAACAAATTGAGATAGAAAGCTAAAATTTTGCACACATGTATATTTTCCCAGTAGGCAGTTTAAGTTAGTAAATGGGCCATGTAGGTCCCAGTTATCATATAGCCCCCATATAACGGTACCTTCCGATATTCGGTATTTTGATGATTTTAGCTACATTATGAATTATTATTTAGCTACGGAATTATTTCAAATTTGGTATTTGAAGTTCGTAATGGATACCACAGCCTAAGACAGAAAATTATCTGTGCAGGTCCACGTCTTCATATAGCCCCCATATAACGGTACCCCCGATATTCGGTATTTTGATGATTTTAGCGACATTGTTTACCGGAATCGTTTCAAATTTGGTATTTGAAGTTCGTAATGGATACTTCATCCAAAGTCAAAAAATGAACCATGTAGGTCCACGTCTCCATATAGCCCCCATATAACGGTACCCCCCGATATTCGGTATTTTAATGATTTTAGCGACCTTATTTACAGGGATTGTTTCAAATTTCGCATGTGAAGTTCGTAATGGATACTTCAGCCCATGCCAGAAAATTGTCTGTGCAGGTCCACGTCTTCGTATAGCCCCCATATAACGGTATATATTCGGTATTTTGACGATTTTAGCTACATTATAAACAGATTTTTCTTCAAGTTTCGCATTTAAATATTGTAATAATTTATGACAAAAGTTGCCTATGCAGGCCCACGTCGTCGTATAAGCATTCTGTATTTTTAAGATTTTAACAGAATTTTTAACGATTTTTTTTGGAAATTGCCAAGTTTGTACCAAATGGTGGAGGGTATTAAAAGTTCGGCCCGGCCGAACATACAGCTTTTTTACTTGTTTGTTTTTTTTTTTTAGAAAAAAATCAAGGAAATTTTTGTTTTTGTTTAAACTTTGCACATTATATTGAAGCACTTTCATATTTTTATACCCTCCACCATACTATTGTCATTCCGTTTGTAACTCCTCGAAATACTCATGTCAGACCCAACAAAGTATATATATTCTTGATCAGCGTAAAATTCTAAGTCGATTTAGCGATGTCCGTCTGTCTGTCTGTAGTAATCACGCTATCTTTCGAATTAATTGAGATAGACGGCGCAAATTTTGCACACATATTTATTTTTCCAGTAGGCAGGTTAATGATTTCATATAGCCCTCATATAACGGTACCTCCCGATATTTGGTATTTTGATGATTTTAGCGACATTATTAACCGGAATTGTTTCAAATTTGGTATTTGAAGTTCGAAATGGATACTACACCCTAAGACAGAAAATTGTCTGTGCAGGTCCACGTCTTCGTATAGCCCCCATATAACGGTACCTCCCAATATTTGGTATTTTAATGATTTATGCGACATTATTAACCGGAATTGTTTCAAATTTGGTATTTGAAGTTCGAAATGGGTACTACACCTTAAGACAGAAAATTGTTTGTGCAGGTCCACATCTTTTCAGTGGTGTTGGGAGA